ATTTTTCCCTTCTTTCTTTCTTTCTTTTTTTTTTTGAGATGAAGAGACTTAGAGAATTGATTTTTTATAGATTTGATAGTACTTAATTACAAATATTGTAATGTGGAGGAGGGCGAAAGGGGAATTTGTTTTTGACAATTTTGTTTCTAGAATTTGTTGGAATTTTTAGCTAATTAATACACATGTGTTCCACTTGAATTTCAAATTAAAATTATTTTAATTTTATGGTTGGTTGTAAATTAAAGATTTTTTTATCTCAAATTAAAGATATTTGAAACTCAAAATAATTCAAATAATGGTTACCTATAAATTTGGTTAAATTTTTAATTCAAATTAGGGTAAATATTAACAATTATGTGATCATTAAGATTTTATGTCAATTTATCTAATATTAAATTCGAATTTCTTAATTTAAATCTTCATTTGAATTTTCAAATTTAAAAGCATCAACAAGATAACTACATTTGGCAAAGGGGGCCACGTGTCAATTATAAAATTGTTTAGATTTCAGTAAGTGGCTAGATGATGTTCGCCACCTGTTATTTATATTTATTAGAGGAAAATCTTACGTGACATCATGTAGTATGTTTGAGGTCATCTAGTTTTACTTTAGGGGGGGTTAGTCATCTAGAACTTAAAATTGAAACTGGGATAATTTGTGGGATAAATTTTTAAGGTGTTAGTCACATAGAACTAAAATTAGAATAAAATTTTACAGTGTTAGTCAAGTAGAACTCTAACAAAACTAGAATTAGGATAATGGTACAAAAAGTGTTAGTCAAGTAGAACTCTAACAAAACTAGAATTAGGATAATGGTACAAAATTATCCCACTTTTTTTATTTTTCTATACAAAAATGAGAGTTCTAACTAGAATTAGGATAATGGTACAAAATTATCCCACTTTTTTTATTTTTCTATACAAAAATGAGAGTTCTAGTCTACCAAATTATTCTAAGTTTTAGCTTGGAACTAGGTGGTAGAAAACTAGAACGCATATTTATTTTGTTATTTTTTATTTTTTATATTTCTTTTTTTTTCTCTACTTTTTTCCTATTATGGTTATCACCATCATTATAATAATAATTATCAATATCTTATAGTCAAACCAAAAGTTATTTAATAGTAAAGAACATTCTTGTATGCAATTATCAATTAATAATAGTAAGTTTAAAATACATAAATAGTATTTATATTTTCAAAATGCATAAATATATATTTCATGATTATAAAAATTTATCTCACATTATCTTATCAAAATATCTTACTTCACAAAATTGTTCTTATTGATCTTACTAAAATATCCCACTAACGAATAATTATTCCATTTTAACAATTATCTCATTTTGCATGAAAATGTCGCAATTGACTAACACCCCTTAGAGTATACAATAGTTTAAGATGCCTCCCCGCTCTCCAGTGGGAACCTAATGTCTACTTGGTCTTTCGTTTGAATATGGCCTGCAACTCTTTTAAATACGCATCCAACCGCCCAATTTATAGTATTTTTTTAAGGTAGCAATTCATAATATACTACAAGCCATTAGAGTATAATAATAAAGTAAAACTCCACTCATCGATCACTAACTGATTTGATTGTGCTAGATACAGAAAATAATAAATCAAAAATTTCTATTAAAGCGTGTTTGGCAACGCCACAAACTATATATCTTTTGTGTTTTTTTGTTTAATTGAAAGGGAGATACGTGATTTTTCTTGTTTGACTGAGGAAATGGGAAGGGACAGTGAGAGGATGAGTTAGTTAAAATACAACAAAAAATTTTTATGGAGAATTTTCATTTGAGGAAAAGGACAATTGAATAATTATGAAAAAATTGGTCAAGAGATAAGAGTCATTATAGAATAAATTCACTCTCTCCTCATGTCCTCATGTTTTCCTCCAAATTGGAGAGATGTTTGTCTCTCCGCACTTTTTATTTATTTTGCACTTTCTCTCTCTACACCCCAGCTCACCCCGCCTCATTTCGCACTCTAAAAAACCCCGTCAAACATGATTTTTTTTATTTTGTTCCCCATTTCACCCCATCTCCTCATACCAAATCAAGCGTTAGTGGATATAATCTTCACCCAAAAGCTAATTTCTTGTTTTATAATAAGTGGGTCAAAATTGAACTAGTTTCATTTAATTAGTTCAAAATTTAGCTTTTAAACTAGTGTTTTTTTGAACCACCTCCTACTTAGAATAACTCTAGCCTAGTGAAAAAATAAATAAAACTAGACTTGGTTCGGTATCCTTTTTAATTGCCAAACAAAGCCTAAGAAACTGAGAAATTTTTCAGCGTACGTAGTAACAAAAAATTCCATAAGAAACTGTGCAATGATTGACGAGCTAACATATTATGAGGACAATAAAAAATAAATAAAATTGTAAAACGGAAAAAGGGCAAGAAAGGAGTCGATGCTTTACCCGAAAATTTGGCTGAAATTTGGCCTTTACGCCTAACAACCAACGAGTATGGCCTGTCAAATATAAACACTCAGTTCCGCATTGGATCTTTGACTTAACAAAATCCTCCCCTTTTCTTACTTATTTTATCTTTTTCGTGTAGTGATCTCTATTTTTTCAAAATAAATAAACATCTTCTTTAACAATTATTTTAGCACGACCCTTTCGACTAGTTTCCGTCATTGATTTAGAGGCATAAAAGTACTTTTACCTAGAAATTTGCATTTTTCCGAAGGGCTTGATTAATGTATAGAATAACGTAACTAGGTAGGATTTTAATAAATTGTTAGGTATTGAATTGAATTCCTCTTTAAACACATCACTCTCTCTTACTCTTTTCGAACGTGAGACTATACTAATTCGTGAATATTAATTCCTATAAAAGGGAGGAAGTGAAAACGAAAAGCTGTCAGCTACATACTACTACAAAACAAGTAAACCATATAAAGTGATCGACACCAAACTCTAATAAGATTTTACTAAGATCCGGTCAAGAATTTGGAAAATAACCGTGTCACCTCCCCGTGAAACTTACAGTCATATGTACAGGCTGGCTGTTCAAATTTTGAAAGGCTGCTTAATTATCTTATAGTTTTAGCGGTCATGATGGCTAAGAACATATATATATCCCTTTTGAGAAAATTAATGCTTGTTAATCGTAACCATCGGTCTTACTTTATTTTGTCGTCGATCCCTCTAACGAGGAATCCACATCGATCTCCACGAGGCTAGCTGATATAGTTTTAGCAGCTAGGCGTTGGAATGGAGTCACATTTTTGTCTACTATAAGTATAAAGGGACGCCACGTTTGTAGATATGCGAATCACAACTTACTAACTACACCGAGGATACCGTCAACTGCCACAATTGATTTTCTCTCCACCACATCTTCAGAAAAGTGCGCGCTAGCACGGCCAACCAGGCTGATTAATATATTAATATTTTGTATACGTTTCCGAAGACGTTATAGTGCACGTGATATTGTTTAGTTTGTTCAAAAGTGAGGCCCGCTGTCCGGCTCTCGTGTGTTGAGCAATTTTGCATGCCTCCGGTGCCCTTAAAACAGATTCCTAGCTAGCTCAGATTTTAATTTCTTTTCTTACTCTCGTCTGAAGTTGTTGTGGTTTGTCCTTCGCATTGAGGAGGGAAGTTTAACTATGCCCCTTAATCGGAATCAGATCGATCCTCTCCATTACGGAAACAATAGTGGAGGCGCCACTACACCATATCGCAATAATTGTTTTTCTAGTAGATGATTGTGGTTTTTAGTATAAATTAAGAACAACTACAATTCATGAAGGTATTGTTTGTGTTAGATTTAGAAATGAATCACATTATCCATTAGATAGTTAATAAATTGTGATTAAAAATAATGGTCTCTTCACTGCTTTTCGACAGTGACGAGGATCCAAATTCATGTTAATCTAAGAAGAGAATGCAATGAGTGAGAATGGAATAACGTCAACTCTTTTTCTCCACTTTTTGCCTTTTTTAGGGTTAATTGCAAAGACTTTTGTATTATCTTGTTATGCTGTTTGTCCGGACCGTGTCCGTATGATTGACCTAGTTTAATGAATAACAAACCTTAATATTCGTCTGATATATGTTTGAAATATTGTATACAAGTTGTAAGAAGTAGTTAGAATCAAGTTCTAAAGTGAATAGAGCAAGATAACAAGTTAAACACAACTAATTAAAAAAAAAACCAAAAGTAAGAATCAAATTTGAGTATATGAGAGTGTTTATCTCCTTGCCAAAAATCCACAGGAATAAACAAAATCAATTTGGAGATGCATAACCCGAGATATGAATATTTTAGCAAGACAAGGTCAAAACAATTGACAGCAGTCTGGAAACATCATGATGTAACTTGCACAGAACATAACTTTTGACTCGGCTATGAGAATCACTGTTATAATATATTTTTAAAAAGACCACGATGTTATCTATAAAATGAAGTACTAGCTATGCACGAATCAATAGGTTTATAAGCATCTAGCGACGGGTACAAACTCCAGAGAGGTCTTACTCGTCGATGAGTGGTAGTACCAACCAACGGGCAACATTGCCAATCGATGGACAACTTTGCAAATCAATTGGCGGCTGCTAGGTTTGCAATTTTTAATTTGTTCTGAACTTAATCTTCGTCGTACAAATTCCACCTGGGAACTACATTCGGTTTCAATTTGACCTCTAAATTACTAAATCTGTCTCTACTCACCGGTTGGACTATAAATTCAGCATCTAGCTCAGCAGTAGCGCAGAGAGAGCCAGCGGGGTAAAAAGAGACGAATATAATAGTTGAGAATTTAGCGCGATGCGTAAACTAATTCGGAACAGCCAGTGAGATGGTGGTTAGACGGAACTGCAGGAGCAAAACTCCCACGCCAGTGACCGAAACCAGCAAAACACAATTTTTACCCGAACGAAAAGCCTCCTGCTTCCTTACGATACAAAAGCGAGAGGAGCAGAACCCCCACCCCCACCACCCACTAGCTCCTGTCCTCTTCCCAAATAATTTCCCCAAATTACTTGATGGTCAGCGTCGGCCTTGTGATGTTTGCTGGGATCATGTCGGGCCTCACTCTCGGCCTCATGTCCCTTAGCCTCGTCGACCTCGAGGTCCTCATCAAGGCCGGCCAGCCCAAAGACCGTCTCAATGCCGGTGATTCTCCTTAAATTTTGCGTGTCTTGATTGTCTCTGCTCTCTCTCTCTTTTTATTTTTATTTTTATTTTTTTTTATTTTTTTATCATTTTACCTTCTGTTCTTGCTCAGCTAAGATCCTGCCTGTGGTTAAGAATCAGCACCTGCTGCTCTGCACTCTGCTAATTGGGAATTCTCTCGCCATGGAGGTTTCCTTTTTCCTTTTTCTTTTTATTTCCCCCCCTCTCTCCCTACAGTTAATTGGGATTTTTCTTGGGTCTGATTGAACTGTGGCCTGCAGGCGTTGCCGATATTCCTTGATGCGTTGGTTCCGGCTTGGGGGGCTGTGCTGATATCAGTGACCCTAATCCTTACGTTTGGCGAGGTAAACGAACCTTGATTCGTCTGTTTATTCGTTTTGAATTTGGAATTTGATTGTTGACGGCTCGTGGAGGGTTTTGAGGTTTTGTTGTTATTTAGATTATTCCGCAAGCTGTCTGTTCGCGGTATGGATTGAGTGTGGGAGCCAAAATGGCTGGGATTGTGCGTGTGCTTTTGTTGGTGTTTTTCCCAATTGCTTATCCCATCAGCAAGGTGAGTACCTAGCTTATTTATTTATTTATTTCTAATTTTTCTCTACAACCGTGGGTATATTTTCATTCTTTGTGGAGAAGTTTGAGAATTTAATTGGTAATTGAACGTTATTCCGTTAAATCCCCTTGATCTCCATCTGTGTGAATCATAAATGTTTGGGGGTTTGATTTTTGTTGGTAGTTTTCTTCAAACTATGCTGCAAAATAGCAGAAAGCTCCGTGCTTAGAAATGTTAAACATAGCTGATGTCATTAGCTCATACAATCTCCCTGCAAATACCATGAGTTGTTCTATGCTGCTGTGTTGGATTGACCGCGTCGCGGTAAGTATATGCTTGTGAAAGGAGAACCGTGATGAAATTGAGGAATTTATATTGAGAATAGAAGTATTGGATCAGAACGTTTCCTGTGATTAGTTCGAAGTTTTTTGTCTGTTTATAGAAAGATAAAGGTGACAGAATAAATTCATGAAAAAAGTGAAGCTGTGTCTTTTACATATGAGGCGGTTAGCTCTTCCCTAGGTTGCATGTACATGATTCATGCAATTGATAGGTATCAGCGTATAGTATACTGGTACCTGTTAGCCATATTAAAAATGATATCCTCATCGCATATCACCTCATGAAAAACTTAGTTTATCTACTATTCCCCCCCCCATATATTGTTGTTATATGTGAAAAATTTGAAGAAATGTTGTTTGGGAATGAATGAGAGAAAATCATGGGAATGAATAAGAGAATCAATTAGATTAATTAAAAAGTTGCAAGTAATTGCTGTTGTTTGCGTAATTCTCATAAATCAGAAGTACCTCTTGCATGTAGAAAATCAGAATGTAACTATTTTGGAATAACTCACAAGATAATCAATTTGATGTATGGAAGGGTTATGATTCTATGAATAATAACTATGATTTGACTATTTGGGTACCCTTGAAGGAATCACAATATATACAGTTAAAATCACATGTAACAGAACATGCGTATCATTTTACACGGTCTGATGGACGTCTGATGGACAGATGTCCTTCTACTACGCGAGAACAAAAAATATACAGTTTTTGTGAGAAATAGAAAAAAAAAATATGCAGTGGAAAACTACCACTCATACTAGTAATAAGCGTAATATAAATACTAAAATTAGTCATCATAAACATAAGAAGGACCTGTTGCATTGAATCACAGTTGTGTTGAGAAACATATAAAAGAATATCCGGATTCCAGAAAATCCAAGGAGACATGAAGCGAACAATCTAGATGGATGTTTCTATGTAGTATTTATATACATTATGCAAATTCATAGGCATTGATTAATTAAAAAAATGGATACGATGCAAAAATCTACACCACTATCATATTTTTGAGAACAGAGACAACACAATGCAGGTATCCATGGAAATTAATATAGTCACAAGTTTGAAAAGTTTAATATCACAACTGTTGTTTGTTATGGAAAAGAGGTCGCATGAGGATGAGGTGTCACGAATATTTACGCTCCATGAGATGCAATAAAATATAATATTGAAGGTACCATTAACTAGCGTTAAAAGACATAATAAATTTGGGCCCCATTAACTAATTTCAAGGTCTTATCCCTGCATTAGCTTCTAGTGTGTTGCCTTCAATTGTCGTCTGGTGGCAACTCGTGACTCAAGCATGCATATATATTATTATATTATTATATTATTAGTGTAAGTTACCTATTGCATAACTGGATCCTATTGGGATTCTCTCTTGGATTTGGATTAATATTTAGTCTGAATACAAAGGTGGAAAATTTTAAAAGGGAAAGCATATATGAATATTCCACAGAAAAATCTTTATCATACTCATAAAGTTCAAATCCAAATCAAGTAATTTTTTTTAAATGTAAACCTTTGATCTGCCATTTTTATAAATAATTGCAAGACATGATGAATTCAAGATTTCGATCTTATGTTCGGAAGACTAAAACCAACGTGACTGAAATGGGCTCTGTGCTCTCTATGTTTCTAAGTAGTTACATAATTTAGCTGTCATTTTTTTCTTATGCCATCTGTTGACTGCAGCAACATTTATTTTTTCTGCTGAAATTATCCCCCCAAAAAAACTTTGGAACACTTCTAATGAATGAAGTCGGGTTTAGTCTGTCATCTGACAGATCTTGTTTGAATATTACAACACCTGTTTGTCTTCTTTACTAGTGCAGCATATTCCAGGGGCTACTACTTGCAAAACTAATCTGACATGTATCACCAGGGATTGGACTGGTCTTTTTTTTTCCTGTATAAGACTGTATTCTCCCTATCGTTTCTGTTCATTTGCCTTTTTGTTTTATTTTTTCTTTTTTTTTTGAAAGTGATTAAATTTTGGTATTGTGCAGCTATTGGACTGGCTGTTGGGAAAGGGACACTTTGCCCTAATGCGAAGGGCTGAGTTAAAGACGCTAGTGGATATGCATGGAAACGAGGTTGCTAATATGAACGCTTATCAATTCATATTTTAGGAAACCTACATGTATTATGCTGACCACATTAGCTCAATATGCCGAATGGTGATTGCATAATGACCTATTCTGGTTGTCGTTAATCTGTTCTAAACAAATTTAAAATCTAATGTCTAATTGCATAATGACCTATTCTGGTTCTTGTTAATCTGTTCTAAACAAATTGAAAATCTAATGTCTAAGAAGGAACCTTCACATCAACTGATTTAGGAAGCATATGACATCATTAGAGCCCCAATCTGCATAAATATGAGGTGCAATTTACTATAGATATCTGTGCACCCAAAGGGTGATCCTTGGTCCGTCCATAAGGTGTATTTGTTCTAACCAGGATATCAGTGCGCAAGTTGTGGAAGAAGCATCTGGGTCCTCCTCTTTCTGTTATCTTTTTTGCCCGAATGTTGCTATTTGTCCTATTGAAGAGTGATTAGCTAGTATAAAAGCGACAAAGATATGATAAATGTTAGATTACAATAAGTCACAACTCTCAAAATATTAATAGACTATGGTGATTCGGATGGCCAATTTGTTTTTTTTTAATACAGAAGAGAGGATCCAAATCAGTGGTGAAATTAAGGTTACTTTCTACGCTCAATTGGCTACCGCGAAATTCGTAGAAGCACATTATTGCCGAGATCATAGAAAGATCAATCCATACTATTGCGGGATCAACTTGTTCAAATGGCAAATAAGCATTTGGAGATAAGAACAAGAGGCATCTTAATCGTTCCTTCTTCTGTTCTTTCCTTTAGGATATAGTAGTGGAGTGGGGCGGTTGGAGGAATTGCTGGGACGGTCAAGACTGCACAACTCACCTTCTCAGATTTTGTAATGTTGTGAGCCTCATAGATTGGACTACATATCTTTGTTTTTTGAGCGTGAAAAATTCCCAGTAGACAAGTGACAGATAATATTATTTATTGTATGAGATAAAATAGGTTGCTCTAGTTGAGGATAGGGTGAGGGAGAATCAGTTGTGATGATTTAGACAAGTGCAATGGAGACTGTCAATTCAGGAGCTCATATGACTATAGTTTAACCTAAGAAAACCTTGATGTAAGGAGCATAAATATTGATAGCATAGTTCATTTCACAGAGGGAGGGCCTTAAACGTAACGAAAGAGAAATTTGTGAGCTGATCCAGAAAGATTGGTATAAAATCCTTTCTACTGTTCGTGTCATTGGTGTGGGGCCTTTAAAATATGTCTTCAACATTCCATTCATTTCCAGAAATATATGACAATTAAAAAGGATAATTTTCATGTTTTATTGTGGGACAAGAAATATACCAAGTCTTATAATTGACCCTTTTTATGTCTGGATGTAACCATCATGCCATCTATACTTTAAATGCTCAGGCTACTACACTTTCTGTACTTTTAGTTCATTTAGAGTTTTAATGTTATAATCACTTTTTGTTTTTTATCGTAGCATAGCTTTTGTCACTCATCAAGAAAATGAGCTGAAATGCGACAATGCCCCCCTCCCCCCCCCCCCCCCCCCACCCCCTCCCCCCCCCCCCCCCCACCACCACCCATCACCAAAAAAAAAAAACCCCTCCAAAACAGATTACCACCCTAAAACAAGTAAATATAGGTACAACTTCACGGCAATAACAGCCACCACAACCACCCTCCTCAAATACCAAAATTCCCCTGATATAGCAAAGTGTTCAGATGATAGGGATCGATAATGAAAACAACTACTTCAGGGAAACATAATTTCCACATCTTATTCTACTTTTAGGTTTAAAAATATTTCTGGTAAGTTTCTGTAGTGTTGACTTGAATTACAGACCATGGTGATGTGTAGCTCTGTCGTTAAACTAGTTGGTTTTCTTGGAATGATGAGTCGGGTTTGATTAAAAATTAGTATATATATCATTCGTTGATTCATAACATGAATTGGGGGTTTTCTAAAGGCTTGAAAAGTCTGTTATGTAGAATAATTACTTGAAGCTTCGTTGAAACATAACTTGAATCCAAACTTTTGAAATTCTAACGATTTTATGCATTTTTATTATTTTTCCTGTAATATTCCAGATTAATGTAAGTTTATGTATCTCAACAGATGTAAGCTTAAGCAATCTTAGTTCTTCTACTTCTCTGACTTTTTGCAAGACAGGTGTATCAGATTGAATGCATATCTGCAAATTATGCTTGATATTTTATTTAAAACTACATATTTATCCTAACTCTTACGCGCTCAAATTGATTTTAGGCAGGGAAGGGTGGGGAGCTAACTCATGATGAGACCACAATTATTGCTGGAGCCCTGGAATTGACCCAAAAGACTGCTAAAGATGCTATGACGACAATCTCCGAAACTTTTTCCCTTGATATAAACTCTAAGCTTGACATGTATGTGATTTGATCATCATACTAATGGTTTCTATCTTCCTTTTCACTGTACTTTTTTCACTGCACTAACTTTTCTTTCTTACTAGGCACACTATGGGTCTAATAATGAGTAAAGGGCATAGTCGTGTTCCTATATATTCCGGAACTCCAGATAATATTATTGGCCTTATTTTGGTGAGCTTTAAACTACCTATAAGTTTGTATACATTAGATGTAATGGGCATTCATCTAATATCATTGGATGTACTATTTTGTTAAATATCTGTCTTGTATGTCCCAAACAAAGATAATTGCAGAATATTGAGAAATCTCATGCATATGGGGATAACTGCTCTTTGGGCCCTAGCAGAATAATTAGCTTGGTCTTTTTACATATAAAATATTCATTTTTAATGCTAAATGAAGGAATGGAGAATGTATATAGCTGTTTGTTTCACTCTCTAGAAACTCTTTCCATTTTCTTGCGCGGTCTACCTTACTGCTGCTGCTGCTACCATTTTTCATCAGAGGCTAGCTGCTACCATGGTTCATCACAGACTTATAGAGTTAGGTTTATTTATACTTCATCATTCATAATTAGTTGTCAACACGGACTACCTTCTTCAAGCACTGTTATGATGACTGCTGTGTGTATGGCGAGTTTAATTCCTTTCTGTAATCAGTAAGAAAATTACAGGTATTTTAGGAAGTGATTGGTGCATTGCATTCCATAATGCTGTTTTTGGTTCAAGTGCCGTCACCTTATTTGGAGCAGTGCTTTTACACCAATAAGGTTCCTTGATACACATTTATTTCCTTTGTAAATTTGGCTAAAGCTTAGCTTGGTTTAACTCACTGATGCCTTTTGTTATGTGTATGCGCTTGCTCCACCCACATTTTTCTTTGTTTCCTTTATATAACATCATTATAAATCCTTTGTTTTCTTCCCTTTCATTGAACAAACTATTTCTTCTTGACCTTCTATGGCTAGAAATCTTTATTAGGAGTTAGAAAGTATTCTTCCGCTATTGGTAAATTAAGAATTATGGGAAAGATGACAAAACTTCAATGAGAAAGATTCAATAGAAGCAGATGCAAGATGATTTCAAGCTATACATTTAAATGATCAAGATTCCTCTGTGTGCGTGCGCGCATATCTTTTTTCACTTTTTTTTAGGCAAATCATATTTCCTGTGATTGATAATGTAATTCTGTCTTCCTTCCAGGTTAAGAATTTGATTACTTGCCGCCATGAAGACGAGGTTCCCATTAGGAATGTTACTATAAGAAAAATTCCTAGGTATGCGTTTGTCCTAAATACAGATCAGAAGTTTTTTTTTACTTATTCAAGGATAGCTTGTGGTAAGGATTGGAGCATTACTATACAGTCATTAGGATAAATTATACACTAACTCCTATTTTCCATCAAATATTTTCCATCCTTAAGTATTCAAATTGTTTTTATGTTTGCACATGTAATTAAGTTCTCAAGTTGGTAGGCAATACTCAATTTAATATTTGAGCTATGCCTTGTGTATTATTTAATATTTATGATATGTAGTTATCACATCTCCATTTGAAACACATTTCTAGAAAGATCTCGTTGCCTTATCAATAATGGTAATGCTTGGTTTTGATGTTTTTAACAACATAATTGTCATTTCTATGTTTTGGGTCAAACTTCAGTATTTTATTAATGTAAGATTGCAACCGATAACGTCTGATTTATCATTTACCGTTTGTGTAGTCTCCTTGTTAAATGAGTGGATGCATCAGCTGAAAGCACATTTATTGGACAAGTCTGATCTTATCTTGTATAGGGTGATTTTGTTTCTTGCTTTTTGTAACACAGACATCACTACATGGTTCAGGATATGTAGGAATTTTGTCAGCAAAAGCAAATATTATGTGATCCTTCCATGCGCATGCATGTGGGCGGGAGGAAGCATGTGATTTTGCCTTTTCCAAGCTAAGTCATAAAGATAAATCACCTTGCAATTTAATGGATGGTTTCCTAACTGTTGAATCATGTTCCCCTATTTATGAATATGGTATACAGGCATAGCTAGCTCATGTCCTAGGAAAAGATAAAGAAAACTAAATAAAGGTTGTATGAACATTTCACATACATCATCTATCGATGTCTACTTTTCCAATTGACTGGTCTCCTATGTCTTATGCACCACATTTTTGAGTTGGATGTTATTGTAACATTGTGAGTAAATGCTAATACAAATTCATATCCTGACAAATTCAGTTTTATCTTGGGAAACAAAATTTATAGAATCCCATAGCCTTTTTTTTAACTTGAAGCCAATAAAATTTATCATTCTGATTTAAGAAGCTTGGACATGGACACGGCATGACAGGACATACGGTAAGCCATAAAAAGAACATATTAAATTCTAAAATAGTACAAATGTAGTAGGAATTGCATGGAAAGAAGTCTGCACTTGTGCATGTATTAACATGAGACAATCTGACAGTTCACATTTGTCTTTCATCAATTTTCATTCTTCAAAAACCTTCATCAATAGCAATTATGCAACAAGAATTATTGTGTACGAATCATGTGTTCAGGAAAGTTGGGATGGAAGTGTGCATCCTTACATCGATTACAACATGGTGCAGTGCCAGATTTCTTGTCCCATAAATTTCCATTCGTCACACGACCTTTATCAATAGAATCGATACTTGCAAGAGTTTTTATGTCTCTATCATGTCTTCAGTGTGGCGTGATTTGGAGATAAGAGTATCTGTGCTATATGTGTTTCTGTGCATTGCGCAACCTTCATCTGCTAACCCCTGGATTCTGTGTTCAGTTTAATGTTCAGCCATGAGATGCCATCTTTGAACTTAAGTATCAAAGAATAAAGTAAATTCTCTGGAACTAATTATATAATATTAAAAATCACGGTTTATAGCTGTATTTCTTTATGAAAACAATTTCTTTTCCGACCTCCTCTTACATGCCCAGGTAATAATTTGTTCTTTCGACCAGGGTATATGGTGATCTTCCACTTTATGACATACTGAATGAATTTCAGAAAGGTCACAGTCACATGGCTGTGGTTGTGAAGCGCATGAAAGATACTGAGGCAAATATGGAAAAGAGCAAGAAGGATATATCAGAAAATGGAGGCCATCAAAGTAGGAAACATCTTCTAGGTGATGGTATTACTGGTATGATTCATGGTAACCACTTCATTTGTGTAGTTTTTCACTTGAGTTAAACATTTAATATCCGAGACAGTTAGCTCCTTATCCGTATAGAGTCACAAATGCCTAAATAAGTGCAAATTTGAGCTTTACGGGAATTATTCTGCTAAAGTCCAAGATATGGATCTCAATTTGTTTCAGCTGAGCATTTGGATATCATTGTGAATGCATCTGCCATGAAGGGTAATGTTAATGGATCTCGAAGTCCTGTGCTAAGAACCAATTCGGAGAAGCATGGAGATGTTCGATCACAGATGAAGAAGGCAGACCGAGGAAGACATAGTAATATTCTAGATGTTTCGGAAGCTCTTCCTAGCTATTCAATGGATGAGGAAGTTGTAGGGATCATTACAATGGAAGATGTTATGGAGGAATTGCTACAGGTTGTTAATTTTCTGGTGTAAATTACTTTTGATAATAATTCCAGTAATGATAATATTATTATATTATTCATTTAAATTTCATTGGGCTATAGTAGTTTGTTATATTTAATGTTATATTTAATACTATTTGTGCTTTAGAAATTTAAACAACCGTAGGTACATATTTGAAGGAATATTTTGACTTGTTAGTCTTTCATGTGATACATATGCCATTTATTTGTCAAGAACATACACTTGTAAAGCAGATCCTTTGCCAAATAGATATGTCTCAGTAGGATGATCAAGTTTTTCTCCAAGAAATATTTTGGGTGATCAAGAACTATTTGCTTGCCTTAATTTTAGCATTAGATACAGTAATTCTTTGTTTAAATTGCATCTGCAGGAAGAAATACTGGATGAAACCGATGAGTATGTAGACGTTCACAACAAGTGAGTTTCCTTAATTTGAGTTTTGCATTTTCCTGTGGCTCCAACATATCTGATGTAGCTTTTTGATTTTTCTTCTACAGGATTAAAATAAACATGCTACCCTCAAAAAGGTCCTCATCAAGATCTCCAAAAGCTTCACCTCTATCTTATTTTCAGCGTCGAACTCCAATGGCATCTCCACTTTCTCCACATAATTATACTTCTATATTGCATTCACCTGTTTCTTCATTTGCTCAAACTCTTGGTGCATTACCAACCATTTCAAGTATTGGAAACTCAATACCAAGCTTACCATCTGATCAGACACATGCTGGTCAAAGTTCGCCATCTTCACATCAAGTATGTCCACTATTTTTAGCCCTTTCCTATTTACCGTTCTATTTTAGTTTGATGTAGAGTATACTATTTTTTTTATATTTTTAGAATATATTTTTTTCTTCCAATCTGTCCCACTTCCGCCTTTAACATGAGCATACATTCTTTTTAAATTAGTTGAATGATAATGTTAAGAGGCTGGTGCTGCTAATTTTGTGTGTTTCTTAGGTACATATTTTCCATACTTCTCCGTACTTCATTGAGTACTTCATATTTTCATCTTCTCGGAGGCACTGCGAACTTTAGCAAGCTAAACTTTTTATATATTAGCTATTGTTCCTCTTGCTGATTAGTCATGATTTGACTTGATTTATCATATGGTATTTCATTTGACTGATTAAAGAAAAGTGTAGAGAGTTATTTTCATAAACTATTTAATGAGAATATATGACATGAGAACATAGGCTATATTTAAATAAGGCAATGCATGGTAGGAACTATAGTTATTGTTGAGAAATTAAAATTAGTGACATGAAGGATTCTTGCTAAGACGTCATACGTACAACTTAGAGCTAATACTTCCAATCAGTCCACTGGCTCCATCTTCGAATTTGGACAATAACTCGTAGTACATGAAACTGATTGAAACAATGATTTTAATGTAAATAGATGAAATAAAATAGATAAAATATGTATTACATTTTGGCGAAAAATATATGAAGATTTGAACTATATGGTGGTGCAAGAGCATTTTCTTCCCATGCAAATATCCATTCCTAGCAAATTTATTAGTATGCTTGAAGTTTGCCTAAGCCCCAGAACAGTGGTAGCAGTAATGATTTTTTCCCCAAAAAATCATCTGCTCATTCCTCGCCACTAGCAGCGTTGGTTGCTTTTCTAATCTGTCAGACATGTATAAATTAATTCAGTTTTTTTAACATCCTCATCTTTGATTAAAATTTTCACATTTCGGTCTAACTTCAGATTAACTGGTACTATATCATTGTATCTGCTGCCAGCATCCGAAGACATACAATTGCTTACTCTTAAAATGTCTACTTGGCCATCCATTACATTTCAGGTGGATGAGCAATAATAGGAGCCTTTAAACTCGTACTTTGAGGAAGACAGTTGTTTAATTTGAGATTTGTTCTACAGCTGAAACTGGCTTCAACAGATAAAACTAGATATTCAATAATAATTGTCTTCTTAGCAGCAGTTATGCAAATCTTTAAATTACTTTTTCTTTTAACACCAGTCCTAATTTGTTTTGTGATCCCTGCTAAATTGTTTCTATAACAGATTGCCCGAAAGTCTTATGACAGGCTTCATCACAAGAAGGAAGAATGTTGACATCTATAACTCGTCAGAGTCTAGTTATATAAAGTCGTCACACTAATAGTTAAGTAAACTATGAGGTTAACTGTAAGATTATCTGGCTATTGACCAAGGCATCTACTACTCTGTATCGCCATTAAAGGATATAAGTGTGGCTTATTGTTTGATTTTTGCCAATGCATACTCCGACTGGGTTTCTTTACAAGAGGGCATCATACTTGTGTAGGTATTTTATGTAAGAGTTTACATCACGCTGTAGAATGTCCACTTTTGGGATGGCATTTGTACTGAAATAACTACAGCGCGTTTCTATGTAAGAGTTTCTTATCGTGCTGTAAATATGTCCGCATTCCTGGTCTCTGATAGCTCTCAAATATTATTGTTAAGTGTACGATATCGTTTCTCTTTCAAAATTGAATATGTGCAATTGGAACGTTAAAGATTTTCTCCATCTATTTTATCGACTATGGTAATTTTTGACGAAATTTGTTGTGAGCTTTAATTTAAAAAGCTTGTAGTGTTGCATCCTGATCTTCTAGTAGGTATCAATCCTTGGTCATTGACACCTTCAACGGGGTGTCTTGCATCCGTTCCATCTCTTTTACTGACCACGCATGACTAATATTTTCTTTATGCATCTTTGAAAGTATCTCAATTCTCAAGAACCTTGAAAACATTGGTCAATTAGAAGTTTAATAACTAGCTCCTATCCTTGTAGAATTAAGTTGGTTTCCTAAAAGAGCACTGTACATATAGAAGAATCAAAGGAAGCTTCTGTTTATGTGGGATTTTTTTGAATTTGACTTTTGATGTACCTTTTGCAAATATTCTCAAAAGGTCTTGAGAAAAAGAAGGATGATGTAAGTTGGGAGATCCTTCACTTTGGGCAGGAAGTCATAAAGGAAGCTGCGCCCCGCGTCCCTTGGTTCATCACCCCAAGACTCCGTCGTCAATATAATGCTACAAATCAAGGAATTTAATCGGAGTCTAGAAGTATAGCAAGTTAATAGCAAAATCCTTGACTGTTTCTCTCTCTTAGACACTTTTATCCTAGAACGACATAATATTATACTCCGAAAAATGCGCACATAATAGGGTTGTATATAAAAGAGAACTTGGGAGTTGGAGTATTCCGTGAAGCATTGAATTTTATTTTTAATTTTTTAAAAAGAAAATATCTGTTCCTGTAGTTTATCAATAGTAGAGAATAGTACTGACCCAAGAAGCATTACAGTTTTATGTTTTCTTTTGATTGATAATACGTCCCATCATCTTTGACGCAACAAGAACGCAAGATAGGAAAATTTTTCCAAGTTGAATATACTCTCAAAGTAAAAAAAAACCTGCTTTACGGCTATAAAATCAAAATATAAATAGTTAAAACCCCTTAGAATGCCTAAACAAAAATAACTAGTGACTCGGACAAAACATAAAGATTGAGAACAAGATAATATATAAACTAATTCAACTACGAGTGAAATAACGGTCCTATAACAAAAATATCCTCGAAACAATCCTGAACAAAGGACTTCGTCGAAAACAATGAATTTACTTGAATTTCACGTTGTAGAGCTCAAGAAACACTTTCTGTAGACTTTTGGATCACCCCAATCGAACATCTGGATCAAAAGTTATGGATGTTTGAAGTTTAGGTTCACAAAAGAATCTCTAAATTATGATATGCATGATTAGGATGCGCATCGCTCTTCATAAAAGGAATGACAGTGACGGAGTGCTTATAGGGGCCTTCTAAATAGTAAAAGACAACCCGATCAAGCGTTGTTCTCCCATGAAAAAAAGAACTACAAAATGGATATGCATCATCTCCACTATAAAAGGGTAGTGAAGAAAATTTTACTTTTGTCTAGTGAATTGTGACTCCTAAAGTTAGTTTTATCATATTTCATAATTTGCTCTCATTCCTAACTTAAAAGTCATGAAAGACGAATCACCACCACTCACTAAACAATTCAATTGATGCGATAAAAATAATGATCTCACAACTAATTAGTGAAGAGGATATGAATCCCTAAAAAATTGGGTCTATTTAATTTCTAGGGGGAACAAGAACTATACTACACAAACTAGACCGCTTTAGTAAAAAATTTCAAAGATATATACACAAAAAATTATTTTTAT